GTTAATGTTACTGAGTGTTGACTTTTTCTTTTTCTTTTTTTATAATCAGGTTGTTATTTTTTATCTTCTTTTCTATACGTGGATGAGGTAATTATGCTGATATTTTCTACTGGTATATTTCGGATGGAGCATGGTAGGTTATTGCGTGTGGCTAAATGAGTTCTAATGGAGTTGTAGTCGGATAGCTGTAACGTAAGTTGGCTTGATAGCAAAGAAGTAGTGTGACCAATGTAATTATTTAAGAGTTTGGTTTGATCAGGACAGTTTTTAACACTAGAAAAATTTAAAATCTTAATCGCAGTGCCTTATCAATCGTAAATGGAAATAGAAATAATAATAAAAAAAAATATTTCGATTTGCATTATATTTTATACCCTCGGATGTTACCTGAATTTTACCAACGACAAAATAGTCCCCATACCTGATGATGACCGGAGGAACCGTCGAAAGTACTTGCATATTTAAGGAAGACCTAATACCGTTTATAATTAAAAAAAAACAAAACAAGGATCAAAACATTCATCGAGTGATTAGTGAGTTAATATATCGTAAAAATTTTGTTAGCGAAGGATTTCGCCATTTTATATCATTAACTTTACTAATTTATTTTATATATGAATTCATTGGAATATATATATATATATATATATATATATATATATATATATATATATATATATATATATATATATATATATATATATATATATATATATATATATATATATATATGTTTTATACTTTTTTATCCGACATTATTTCTTAGTGATATAAACGTTATTGTTAGTAGTACACGTTAGTGGAACTTCTAATTTTAGCCGAATTTTTTTATGAAATAGGAAAAATGACAAGGATACCAACTGAAACACATTGACTTGCTAAAGAAATCTCGTTCATAGTACGTAGAATAAATGTCAGCAAAATGTCGGATAAAACAAAAACAAAATCTGTTAAAGAATTACTGTTGATTACGTTTCGTCGACAAAATTGTACCTTGCAGATATAGATTTGTAGAAGGACCTGCGAGAAAAACCTGTTTTCGTTGAGAGGGTTATTGAAACTTTGTCCGGACTGGCGCGCTTCGTGGCCAGACTGACACGCGACTTTGGCTAATAAAAGTGATTCGATTGATGGAACAACCGGGTAACATGTTCGATTCCGTTTGGAAGCAAAATTGTTTCGTAAGTCGGACTTCTCAATCTAGTCCATTTATTATCAATTTAACAGTTTAATAATAAATAAACATGCATGGATATCAAATCAAACATATGTACCGACTAAAAAATAACATTTATAGAAATATTTATATGTATATATATATATATATATATATATATATATATATATATATATATATATATATATATATATATATATATGAGTGAAAGAAATATTTTCAGTACCTCTCTATATTTCTGAGATCATGCATTATGTATTTATATTGTTTGGGTTTTTGCCCTCATGTTGTTGTCATATTTATCACAACAATTCGGACTTCTTCAGGTGGTTGGAACCTCGAAGTGAACACTTTATTTCGCTCGCTTAGATAGACGTACGGACACATGGCACAGTGGATAAAACCGTTGGTTAGATCAAGTGACAAAACCCGGAGATTTGTGAGTTCAATACCTGATTAAGATAGTGGAGAACTTGGTGAGGTGAATCTACAGGGAAAACGGACATCCATTAAATATGGCATGTGGAACTAGTACAGTCTACGCCAGCGAGCGAAAGAAAGGGTTCTGTTCGACATTCCAACCACTTGAAGAAGGCCGGAGATTACAACGGCCTATACTTTGTGAGTAATATTTTTGCTGACAGGCAGATGGTGTCGTTCAGAAATAAAAAAAAAAATGATTAAATGAAATGAGGACTATGTAAAACAAAGAATTTTAAAGCGGTTTGAAAAGTCTCAGCACAATGATGATTATTAACAAGATCGCCTCATTCGAAATCTTCGAGGTATTTCTTAATGTTCTATCATAACCAAACTGGCTATTTCTAATCCACTACTGCACAGGCCATTTTTCATAAGTGCTGCTTGAAAATCCGCCACTGAAAAAAATTTGGACAAAGTATGTCTTTTATTTTATAATAATTTTCAACGTGTATGCTTCCTTCTCCTAAAATGAATTCTATGAAGTATAAGTGTATTGTTTCCTACATGGGGCGTGCAAAATTAGGTATACAGCAACGAAAGAAAAAATATAATATATATCTTTTTCGCCTTGCAAGAAAATGAATCCATAAGAGTTAGATACGGCTAATAATAATAATAATACTGTTGAGGGGTCCTCCCTTTTTTACAGAAATGGAATCACCCAGTATATACATATACTACTGTTATATGAAGACCCGAGAGTCGAGAGCAACAGAGGGTGACGGTAACAAACAAACAAACTGACAGACAGACAGATCGAACGTAGCGAGCAAGAGTCACAGTGAGCAAGCACGTAGACTCAGCAAGAAGTCATACAGCGATACTTCAATACCAAAGACTCTAGAGATATTTTGCTACTAACCCGTATTCCTGGAACTACTAACCTGCTTTACCAGTTTGTATTATTATGTTAATACATTATTTTCCTATATTCATTCTTGGCGTTTGTTATTTATTGGTACCGGATTTCATCCCGGAATCCACAACAAATACTACTACTACTAATAATAATTACTGTCGATTATTTAGCCATTAAACAAAACGAAGCATGAGCAGAATGTTAAAAATCAGGTTACTCTAGCCCATCTGTGTCATTTCTCAAGAAAAAAAAAATTAATTTGGATATTTAGAAGAGAAAACAGCTATTTCGATCAAACATTTATTGACGTGTTGCCGCTGCTGGACGTATAGTTGTGCATTTAGCGTTTCATTGATTTTTAAGAATGCTAAATAAAATATACCCTAAACACTCTTTGGACACGTATAACATTACCGTTCATCGACGTTTGCAGTTTTATCCTTTTCAAATCATTGCATTTTGCTTTGAACAGTGTCTTAAGAAACCCATTTTTCATATAGGATTAAATATCAATTGTAAGAAGACTGAATGCATAGTTGTTAGATAAAAAGAACATCCCTACATATAAAGCACTTATAATAGATTCTGAAATCAAACATGTGTAACAATTCAGATATCTGTGAAGCGTATTAACAGAGGACGAAATGCGCGGCACATTGCGATAGTGGAAGATGCCTTACAGAAGCTGAGCAATGTATTAAGAAACAGAAAAATATCGTTAGTAACAAAGTAAAGAACAGTTATGCGGTATCACTCTTCCCTTCTGAAAGTCAATGCTGGACAATTTCATAACACATGATGAAAAGACTTAAAGCAACAGATATGAGAACTCTACAGCAAGATACTGAGAATACCATTAACCAATCATGTGAGCCACAACGAAGTTCTAGAAAGAATGACAACAAAAATATCAGTTATACTTAACATCCTGAACAGAGAGTTGACATTATTTGGGTACATAACGAGAAAATTGAGCTTGAAAAAACTGATACTCACAGGGCAAATTCAAGGAAAAAAAATGAACAGAGAAATACAATGCAAAACCTACCTGACAACTTGAGCGAATGGATGGCAGAGGAAGTTTTGTGAAATGTTGCAAAAAGATAAAAGTTATTAAAAGCTACAAAAAAGAGGAAATTGTGGAGAGCCATGATAACCAACATCATAAAGGGATATGTCATATAGAAGAACAAAAAGTTACATATTTAATAATTAATTAGGATGATAAATTAATCATTAAAAAGCAAAAATTAGTTAATTATGATTCGACGTTAAGTATGGTCAAATGTACCTTTAAAAAAAAAGACTCTTTTCTCAGTTTACGATCGTCATATTTGACTCTCTTGCTTGTATCGATAGTTCGATATCGGACTTGTTAGATTTGTGCATTGTCTGAACTGTATTTCTGTTGCTTCCAATTTTGTTACTTGAGCAAATTCTTTTTACGCTTCACTATTGTCAGCAATATTCAACGGTAAAGAAAGACATCTGACCCTTTACCGTATGGAATGAAAGCAGCAGAAAAAGACATCATTGTTACTGTGTAACGATGTATTTTAAACAGTGGCGAGATTTCTTTCATTTCACAGATCGTGCAGACACTTCTACAAATCAGTCCTACCTATTTTTTTTCTCTTACATCTGTGTATAGCAATAAAGACAGAAGTTCTCATCTTGCTTCTCTTTACATGCGCCACTACGCATGCGCTTTTTTTCGTTCTTTCTTTTTTATATTATTTCTGCCAATAATGTTTACTTTTCCTTTCACTGGCATACTCCAAAAATATGAATTGTAATGTCTTTCTAGTATTTTGTCTTTCATTTTTGTTTACTTGCTTCTCTTTGACTCATCTATTTATGTATTTTTTTTCACGTTATCATTTGCTTCATCTTTTTTTGATTGCCATCAACACCCTGGCAGGCTTTTCAGTTTTCCGCCATTTTTTGGCGTCTCGTCCACTTACCGCTCGACAGCGCGGGCAAATATGCAACCGAATTTGTAGCGATGGGTATTTTGTGCCGCCATCTTAATATTGTTCCCGCCTACGATCGTTGTCTTATTCTGCTCCTTTTCCCGCCTTCGCTGACGTGTAACGATTTCTTTTCGCGCCAATTCTCCTTCTGTCAAAATGAAAACGCTAGCCGTGATCTTCCACAGCAGCAATTCGGAAAAGATCTGAATGCATTAAGACGTCAGCGAATGGAAACGGTGACGAAGCCAGCAGGTTGTATTGGGAATATTAGTGAAGAGAAAAGAGTAGTAAAATGACTAGAAGAATATGAGCATGGAGTAGTAATACAAGAAATGTAAGTGATAAATATGAGGGCAATGAAGGGAAGGGGACTTTACAAAGGAAACATAAAAATAAACATCATGAATATTAGATGTAAGAAAAGGAAAGAAAACATGCAAAAGCAATTTCAGTGTTTGAAGAATAAGAGGGTAAAACAACTGTGCAGAAGAGAAAGATTTAATGTTGACTAAGGAAACATGCGAGGACAAATGTGAATAGAGAAGAAACATTCACAAGAGATAAAGAAAAAGGTTGACGGGCTTAGAAGAATAAAAGAAAAAAATGGAAAAGGAAATGAGAGGAAAGGTGAAATTTACGAAAGGGTGGTAAAATAGAAGGAAATTTTGAACATGAATACAAGAAAGAAAGAAAGAAAGAAAGAAAGAAGAAAGAGAGTATCATTCGAAAAATTCCGAAAGAAAAAAAGAAAGACCGACAGAAGCTGTAGAGAAAAAGAAAGAAAGAAAGAAAGAAAGAAGGATAGGAGGGAAAAATAAATAAAAAAAACGACTAAGAAAGAAACGCAGCTTAGAAAAAAATTAAAAGAGAAATCGAGACAATGAGAAAGAAAGAAATCTGAAAGAAATACTGAAATGAAAGAAAGAGAAAAACAATGAAAGAGTTAAAAAAAAAAAAAAGAAATATCGCTAAAAAAAAGTAAACGAAAGAACTAAATAATCAACGGGAAAAAACAACCGAAGAAATAAAGAAAGAAAATAAGGAAAGAATTCCTAAAGAAAAAGAAAAAGGTGAAAAATAGACATTGAGAAAGAAAGAAAGAAAATAACAGTGCAAAAAGTCCCAAAAGGGAAAAGGAAAACCGAGAAAAAAAACGGTACAAAATAAGAAAGAAAAGAAAGAATAAAGAGATTAAGGAAGGAAGAAGATAAGCTTATAATCAGATAAAAGAGAAATGAAGACAAAGATATAGAAAAAGTCGGCCAGAAAAGAAAAAAAAAAGGCTTAAGAAAAGAAGGTTTAATATAATAAAAATAACGTCAAAGAAAAATAATCAACAAGAAATGAAAGTAACACACGCCATTTCTTTTCTTTCTTATTTTGTACCGTTTCAAAAAAAAAACGAAAAACAAGAAAGAGAGAAAAGCAAAAAAAGAATGTAAAAATCATAAAGAAATAAAAAAAAATAATTCAAGAATTAACAAAAGATAAAAATTAAAAAATATGAAAACTAAGAAATAACCAACCAATGACAACCAGAACACGGTAGTATGACACGCAATATGAATCAGATATATAGCTATACTGAGTCGTAGATGAATTCGATTCGACTGTCACCAGCAAAATATAAAACTAATAAAGAGTTGGCGAGGTGAAGATCAAAAAATTGTACCGAGTTGAATCAATTAATAGATTAAAAAGACCGCCATAAAAATAGATATAAACTAAAACTCCTGAATTGAAACAGGATCGATGGGTGCTTAATAGAAATGTACATATAGAGAAAATGGATTCAATACAGAGAATGGTAGGTAAATTTGGGCTCCATTGTAATGGGCGTGCTAAGATAAAGACAGGTTGATATATATATATATATATATATATATATATATATATATATATATATATATGATTGAATTGAGGAATCGCAGAGCTGAGTTCGAATTCCAGTCGAATCCATTACATTCACTTACGTGCTAATTCCATTCGGAAAGGTATGAATCCTCTTCTTCTCCCTCCAGCTATGGGTAAAATAGCAGGACAGACTGAGTTCTATAGCCTTGGATGGCAACTGGTCTAGGAGAAGGACAACTCTGAATTCAAAGAATGCAGAGGGTTGTTTGGGAACATTGTGGCATTCGGTGCAACAGGTCTCTGTATTCGTCCCTTCAAAAAGTGTGGATGGTCCTGCACGAAACCTTCACCATTATAATCAAATCTCATGTGCCGGCGTCGGGCTGTCGGTTTCCTGGAAACTGATCTGCTTGGCCCTCATACGTCGAAATCAACGGAAGAGTCGACTATATATATATATATATATATATATATATATATATATATATATATATATAAAGAAAAGAATAGCAAGATTTATAATCCGATGTTCTTATAGATATTTTTATTTTACAAAATAGTGTTCAATGTAAATTTACAGAGCATTAATATTATAAATTAATTGATTTAAAATATGTTTTTTCGCTACACAGTTCTAACCATGTTTCAAAATGGTAGCTAAAAAGCCACGAATTTAATTTTGTGATTAAATTAAAGGCATTAGTTCCATTTCATCATCAAGCGAAAAATTCGCTTGTCATGCGAATATTGATGAAATCTAAAACATGTATTCATAGAGATGCATAGTTATATATATATATATATATATATATATATATATATATATATATATATATAGGGTGCGATCTGTAAAGTGTCATCTAAATTACCCAAAAATGGAGATGACACTGATATCTCATTTTCAGATATATGTTTACCAAACTTTCACAAAAATATCTGGAAATACAAAAGTGTAAATATATTGAATAAAATTGGCATTGGCTTGAATCACAGCCTCCATACGATTTCGGAATCTCCTGCAACTCTCTTGGGCGGTCTCCTTTCATTTGCTGAATGTTGCCATAATTCTTGCCTTCATTTGATCTTTGGTGTTACAAGGAGTTTTGTTGGTCAATCGCTCAACTGCGTCCACACATAATCAAAGAAATTACAGGTCCGGTTAGTTTGGTGGCCAGATGAAATGGGGGGATGTGTTTGCAGAAATTGGGTTTTTCTAATTGTGTGGGATAGTGCAGAGTCCTCTTGTACATCGCACTACCTCTATATGGCACTTGTAGTGTGGTGTCTGATGTCCTGTTGGAAGATGAATGGATGCATAATGTCTCCATCAATTGTGATCAATCCAAACACCGTCGTATTCACCATTAGACTCATCCAACCTTTCCGAATCCTCGTCACTGTCCTCATATTTATACCCAATCACTCAATAATGAGATAGATAGATAGATAGATAGATAGATAGATAGATAGATAGATAGATAGATTAAATTATTAGATAGAAAAACGAGTGGAAATATTATATAATATGTAATTATATAAATAAATAATTTATATAAAGTCAACGCAGTGTTATAATAATTAAAAAAGAGGAAGGAAATTAAAAGAAAATAAATAAAAGTTAGACCATAGACTGTCAAGATCAATATTCACGCCATTGATTCTGTGTTGATAGTCCACCCGGTGGAAAGTCGCAATGCAAAGAATTTCGCTCAGACACCAATAAAATATTTTGAATAAGCATGTCTGTTTCCTATCCTAAGATCTTAATCGTATAGATTTTTTTTTTTTTTTTTTGGGGGAAGGAAAAATACCCCGGAAATATGAATCTAATTCTAAGCACCAGAAGGAGACAACGTCTGTATGGGCGTAAATTTCAAATCATGTACTTTTATAATTGAGATTAACAAGCAAATATTGTCTAAAAAAAGCATAAATTATTTCTTCTGTAACAGGGGATTACATTCCCATAGACATAAATATATAGTTTAAATTTGCTGTATTTATAATGGATGACTTCGAGAGATAGAGCGTTTACAAATTGTGTACAGAGCCTGTAATAAATTGGTTTTCAGATCGCAGTGAGCCGTGAAATTGACAGTTATAATGCTGTGTTGATTCCTGTGTCCACAATATCTTTACCTGACTCCCCCTATCTCTCTCTCTCTCTCTCTCTCTCTCTCTATCTATATATATATATATATATATATATATATATATATATATATATATATATATTAGATCAGCCAATAATTTTTTTTTTAGTTCAACTGTTCTGCATATTATGCTTTTCTTTTCTTTATACGCATATACTTTAATAATACTGTATGTTGGTCTAATTAAACCCAGACCAATATATATATATATATATATATATATATATATATATATATATATATAAAAAACTTAAACACTAATATTCCATGGTCATAATTTATTCCATTGCAATCGTAAATACGATCCAATTCGTCAGACCTACAAATTCAAAAAAAAAAAACAGAAAAAACAACCCCGGAAATAAAAACAGAATTTAGAGAGTGTAAGTATGAGGGTGTGGGACGAATGTTAGAGCTAAAGAGGGTAACAGACTAAAGAAGGAGGAGATTTAACCTTAACAGAGAGAATTTTAGGAGAGGTGAGTGGAAGGGGTTTAATGTATGTGTATGCACCTATGTATATATATTCTTTATATATTTAGCATATGTATGTGTATATTTACCACTAATATATATATATATATATATATATATATATATATATATATATATATATATATATATATTGTATATATTTGGGCAGCAATTTTTCATTAATACATGTTTCATTAAATAATATGGAAAACTTAATACTTCTCGTTCTTCACGCTCGCGTGGTCATATGTGACGTCACGAGCTGCGACACGATTTTTGCTTTCGCGTCTCGTATATACGAGTTTGTCGTTACTTGGAAATTTTCATGTAGCAAGGGTGGATTATCATTGTTGTTTCTTCCGTGTGTTCTTTGATTTATTGAAATTCGCATATTTGATAATTGCTTGTGTAAGCCGAAAGGTTAGATTGGATTTAAACATGTATTAAGATGGTGTTTTCTTTTCGTCTTTCAACGATAATGTGATTAAGCTTATCAGACAAAATGAAATGTACTTATTTAAATTAAATAGACAAAACTTGTCTATATTATTTAATGAAACATGCACTATATATATATATATATATATATATATATATATATATATATTAATTTGTATTTGGGCAGAAACCTTTCTATTATACGTTTTTCGTTAAATATGGCCGACCATGAATATTTAATTAATTTCTATTTAGTTCTTTTCCAGTATTCTTACCTTTTTTTCCGTTTGGTGGAAGTAAGGGAATAAAAAAAAAATTATATATTGCTAATTGTCCCAAGCGCTTTCGGCCTCCATTTTTCATTATTAAAAAAGAAAAAGCCAACACTTAATAATATTAACTACGAACACGGCCACTATGTGTTAACTGTGTTGGGAAAATTAAACTTTCCTAAAACACAAAAAACATACACACAATGTAAACACAAAAAAAAACTGAAAAAATAAAATCATCCTTGATAATAGCTAAACATTTAGCTGAAGGTGCTTGGAATTATAGACTATTTGTACAATTTCTGTACAATCTGTGTCCAAAAAGGGAAACACTTGTTCGAATAGAAGAAAAATTGAATACAAACTTAATCGTATATATATATATATATATATATATATATATATATATATATATATATATATATATATATATATATATATATATATATATTAAGAAATGGACAAGGTCCGACAATTTATTTATTAAAGACATTTTTATTAAAAAATAACAACGTTAAACATAAAATGTCTTTAATATATATATATATATATATATATATATATATATATATATATATATATATATATATATATTGTGTATTTGGGCACTAATCCCTCTTTTATACAAGTTTCATTAAAGACGACAGTTATGCAATTAAGCTTTTTAATCAATTTTTTTTTCTTTTGTTTGGAAGACGTCTTCTTTTCTGGACACAAAGTGTGTAAAAGCCATGGGCATGCGTAGTCGCACCAGCATAACAAATTTAGTCCGAACACGCCATAAATGACGAAACGCGTCACACGAAAAGTTTTTACATTTTGTCATACATTTCCCCTGAGAGAGAGAGAGAGAGAGTGAGAGAGAGAGAGAGAGAGAGAGAGAAAGAGAAAGAGAGAGAGAGGTGGGGAGAGAAACCTGTATAATGATGGCCAGATTTATATCATTCCGAAGTTATATAACGGCTGCAAGTTGAACAGAATTATACAGTTAGTTCGCTGCCACGTTCGGGTGTGTCTTGTCGAACTCTCTGCCTTTGTGCAGGCTAGAACCCAGTATTCGAGGCCTTGGTTTCTTTTTTTTGATCTTCACCTCGCCAACTCTTTATTAGTTTTATAATTTGCTGGTGACAGTCGAATCGAATTCATCTACGACTCAGTATAACTATATATCTGCTTCATATTGCGTGTCATACGACCGTGTTCTGGTTGTCATTGGTTGGTTATTTCTTCATGGTTTTCATATTTTTTTAATTTTTAACTTTCGTTCATTCTTGATTTTTTTTTTCATTTCTTTATGAAGTGGTTATGCAACTTACGTTTCTCGACCTACTCTCTGACAAACAATATGGCTTCCATTTTGCCAGATCAACCGCTGATGAGATTACGGTCATGGCAGAATATATATAAAAAAGCTTTTGATAATAATGTTGAAGCCACATCTGTGCCTCTTGATATCTCGAACGGATTTGATAGGAATTAGCATGCTGGTCTTTGACATAAACTCCTTGACTCCAGTATTATTGGATGACTGATGAAATCCGATCATTACTATCAAATGTGAACGTGAAATGAAGTTAATTTAAAATTGTCTTGCTTCCACATACTTTTACACAATGCGAGTGACCTCAAGTCTCTATTCTGTGTCCTAAGCTGTTCATCAATTCCCAAACAGGCATTTATGCTGATGGTACTACCATTTACTCCTGCCTCAATAGCAAAACCGACAAAGGTGTGCCTGGCCGATATTATTGTAAAGGACCTCGATTCTGTTGTTAACTGACGCAGGAAATGTCTCGTGAATTTTACTGCGTCTTAAACGAAACTGCTCCCATTCAAAGACCATTGAAAATCTTTCCCGGCTGCCATCAGCATGACTAATGCTAGACTCATGGAAAGCAACACACGCAGCTGACTTGAAATGGAACGACTACATCGAATCAATAAATCCATCTACTGCAAAGAAAATTCGGGAATTGTGTCGTGCCAGAAGGTTTTTCTCGTCAGAGTCCATCTTGCACATATAAAATTCTACCATTCACCCGTGCATTGAATAATGTTGCTATATCTGGTCTGGTGCTCCTGCTACTCATCTCGAGTTTCTTAAAAAAATCCAACGAAGGATCTGCAACGTAAGTGATCCCGATTTGGCATATCGACGTGAAGTGGCTTCCCTTTATCTTTTCTACAAATATTTTCATAGCAACTGCTCTGACGAACTTTTTTCCCTGGGGCCCAGTAACAGTGTTTTTAAGTGGCATCTAGGTCCCACCCTTTTACTGTTGAATTAGTTAAATGTAACCACCTCCTCTACTCCAACAGTTTCTTTAGACGCATTTCCCCCCTGTGCAACTCCCTTCCGTTTCTTTGTTTCTTTGCTTCTCTACAATCTTCAAAATTTAAATGCAACATCAATGACTATTTTGAATCTTCTTGCATCCCGTTCAGCTTTTATCCTTTTCCTCGGTTCCCCTTTGAATGCTTATTCTACCAAATTCACTCTCTGTAGTCCAATGTGTATCAGTCGCTTTCCCGCCTTTTTAATAAAAATGTATTGCTGCTAACTTTTTTCCCCTTACAGAAAAGTATTTTGTAAAATTTATTATATCAAAACTTTATGAAAGTGTAAAAAATTTTGTAGTAAAAGTACCAGTTTTCATAGTAAAACTTAATTATACACAATACTTTACTGTAAGTTAAAAAAACTTACCATCCAACTATTTTCATAACAAAAAAACTAAATTTAGTAAAATTACATTGTTACAAAAAAAAAAAAAAAACTTACTGGAAATATATTTTTGCAAAAGATATTGCTAATACTTCGAAGAAAATTACTTTTCGGCATTAAATTTGTTTTAATATGAAAATGTATTGCTGGTATATTTACTATAATTTTTTTTTATACTTTCATAAGGTTTTGATCCCAGCTTTGGGGTTAAATATTTACCAATAGCAGAGACACTAACAGGTACTACCAACCTAGTTCCGGTGAACCGGGGTATGATAGAAATTAAGAGTTGTTTCTAGGCTTCTCGAAGCCTTCGAACCATAAGCCATGCTGTCGGATGTAGTTGATACCCAGGACAGCTTTCTTTATGGAATTAAGTTTAAAATAGATACCCGTTCATAGATTTTATTGCAGAATCAATTAATAACACATTAATAACTTCGTTATAATAAAAATCTACAAGTAGATATTTCTGAAAACTTAATTATTTAAATTACCTTATTTTTATGAGCAAATGTACACTTAGATACAAAATAAGTGTCATACAAATTCATCACGAGAGTGCACGAAAATGTACCCTCTGATCCGTTTTTATAGAAAATTATCAGTAATTTGAAACAGACGCTGGCTAATAACGGCCTCTCAAACCGCCTTCTTGATTGTTTTAAGCAAATCACCCCAAGCAAGGCGTGTATGCCACGAGCACGCAAGGTGTTACAGAGTGTGAAAATAAGAGTAGAGACAAGTGTTTTGAGAAAAGGATAAGGAAGACAGGGATCAAGATAAAGGCATCAGAAGATATCGATTGACATTATATATGAATATTTGAAGATTATAGTTATCAGGGACGCAAGTGATAGGAAGGGAGCTCAACTGACAGGTGGTGCGAGATAAGAAGCTCTTGGAGTAGAAGAGATGGCTACATTTAGTCGTTTCAACATTGAAAGGGTGGGACCGAGATGCCAACCTAGTAGCAAGATTAAATTCATACAATTTGGGAACTAGTGAATGTAGCTCGTCTGAGGAGTTGCCATAAAAAAAAAAACTTGTAGCAAAGACAGAGGGAAGCCACAGCACGTCTACGAGATAGTGACTGTAGACGCAATGCCGTATCAGAACCAATCACGTTACATATCCGTCTCTGGATTTTGTCGAGGACAACGAGATGAACAGCTGGAGCACCAGACCATATATGGAAGGAATATTCCATGCAAAGTCGAAGGATTGATTTGTATAGATTTTTACTCTGTAGAGTAAGCAATACTAAGGCTGAGAATACAGAAAAAAACACATTAATATTAACATTTTATATAAGAATTCAAATACGCTTTACCTATAAGCAGGACGAATTTGCCCTTAGTCGTTGACATTATGGAACTCCCTTCTATAGAAGTCAGGAAATAATGGTCGACACAAAAGTAACATGGATTGGCGCATGCCCAATCAGTACATATTCTTTGCAATCCCCCGGACATCGGACATAGGTAAAAAGGTTCATTCTTCAAAGGAACACACGCCAAAACGTGCTCCGTCAGTCACGATTGCGTTTTATGAAGAAACGATAATATTTTGCAACATGGGTTTCTGAAAATGCGTGAAATGTACCCCGTTATACATACACCTCCATTATATATATATATATATATATATATATATATATATATATATATATATATAATGATTACGGAACACGTTTGCGCTTTCATTTCTCTCTTTACCTCAAACCCTAACCCCTGCCGTGTGTGTGTGTGTGTATGTGTATATTTAATAGGATGGTTAAAAAAATAGACGAATAAATAGCCTACAAAATGATATCAGTATTGACAATAAAATTGATATTTATTATATATTAACCTTTTCACTGAACTGAAGCACGAAGGGTAAGATTTAATGTCGGAATTTTCGAACACGCCTGCGTTCTTTTTCAATGAAGCACACGTGGTCCAACTTTTCTTTTAACTATATATACAGGGTGTCCATAAAGTTTGTGTGCCCTTAAAAAATCATAACTTTATTTGTATTTTCGATAGAAATAATCTGTAAAAAAATGTTATAAAGTTTAATGTACCTACGTTTAAGTATAACTAAAAGAATTAAGTATAACTAAAATAATGAATGCAATATCCATATTAAGAAATACATAACTCCAGACTAACTAAATTAAGACGGCCAACCTGATTGTCACGAAAATAAAAAAAACAAGTCACCAGCAAGATCCAAAGGACAAAAACCCGAGCTTATTTATGTATTTATATGTCTCTCAAGGAAATGCGTTCCTGATGAAAACAAATTCATTAATAATAATTCCATCGGATATACAACTGTATTATCACCAAGAAATCTTACAATTCATCTCTTGAATCATATCTCTAAGACGGGAAATGGTTAACAAGCTTGTTTCGCTTGAAAGTTTATGAGTCCGATCCTCACTGGGTATCGCATACTCTAGGCCTTCTACCACATCTAAACTTAGAAAATCATCATAGTTCTATTAATACCAATTTAAATACACACGGAGACCTTTCAACCTCTGTCCTCATCATACTGAATATATGCCATAATTGACTCATCGTTTTCAAATAATGGTTAAGAATAATTCAGCCGTTAATAAAAATGAATCCCCTTCTCAATAATATTATGAACACGGCCACAATGTGCTGACATCCTAAAGCTATATATGCATATTAAAAATAAATAAATATAATAGAAATTTAATAAAAACAATAAACCCATTGCTTTGTCAGTCGTATCTAATTAAACTTGTCTAAAGAGGGATTGTTGACCAAATACACAATTATATATATATATATATATATATATATATAATAACAATGGGAAAGATTCTGTTTCAGAAAATTTTTTAAAAATTTAACCAGAGAAATTAATGGGCAATCATGTTTCTATATATATATATATATATATATATATATATATATATATATATATATATATATATATATGAAATGAGTATGAATCAAATATAAATTTAAACTTTCATAACATTAATATAAAAATAAGTCTCGGCACAACAGTAGAGCGATTACATATGGTCGAATGCAATATCCAAACATCAGGATATATATATATATATATATATATATATATATATATATATGTGTGTGTGTGTGTGTGTGTGTGTGTGTGTGTGTGTATATGTATGTACGACAGGATGCTAAAATATTTACCACTGA